GTGTTTACAAAGCAAATGAAAAGTTCAACCTCAAGTCAACGCTATTTATCAAATATGTCCGTACTTCGTGGAGAGGGCCGCGGTTTTTCTTACACACGGATGTGTCTCTGAGAACAAACACGATTTTAGGAGATTTTCGGGACCCCCATCTTTGCCATAGGGTGACTCGTTTATCGGACTGTTCGTCGCAGCGAGACTACAGGGAAGGATAATAATTCATACCCTATATCGTGCAGAAGAGAAGAATATAAAAAAAAAGAAAACGAAGCGAAAATTTCGATTTCCTTTCTTGTGGACAGGGCATTGTAGGTGAACGTGGCTTCCTTGTTTGATTCGCCAAAGTAGCAACAAAGCGACATTTTACGATCGAGCGAGCACCGTCGGAAACACTGCCCAAAATAATTTTATAGGGAGTTTCACGGCTTTCCACTGCGACATAAGCACGTGGATAGAAAAACAAATATTGACAACAATAATTGTCGAATATTTTTGGCACGCTCACACCTGGTTTTTCTTCATAATTTGATGACTCATATGTTGATTTTGTTTGCGGAACCGTACTTCTGACCGGCAATTTTATTGCGTACGCGAAGCTTTTGCGTGCGATCCACTACAGTTAATTATTTTGAGGTGTCCAAGTTGAAGCGGTGCGTGTTATTTTTCGATCTCTGTCCGAATGATACAAAGTTTCACGTTTTCACCCTGTGAGTGAAGCGAGTTGGTCAGTGCTAGCATCGAAGGCTAACTTCGAACTCTAATTTGGAAATAATGTCTCTGTTGCCGCATCGCAGACAAAGATATATATGCTCTTATCACTGTAGCAAAATAACGTGGCAGGATTTGTGCTCTTGTTATGATCGTGTACCATTGTAGTCGACGTCATCCCAGCACGGCGTAATTCGGTTCAGCCCTGCAAACCACACTTGGGAAAAAAATGAAAGTTTGCACCTTGTTTGTTCAATTTTTTTGTTATACTGCAGAAACACATTGCGCCCCGTGTTTTTGAAGGCACGGTAGACGGTGGTGACGGTGAGGTGACCGACCCCCATGTCAGCCGGCGTCTCGCTCGACCTCCTCGGAGGACAGGTCGTTTTTACTGGTGACTGGTGCATACGTGGAGCAACTCCGCGCGCATTGCGTTCTTCATCTCAGAGAACGCAATACATGACTCAGCTCTATCTCGTCATCGCTCCAAAATGACAAGTGGAATTCGCAACTGTAGTCGGTGACAGGTCAAGAACGAAGTGGGAGCTCCTCCCACCCTGTTCCACTTCAGCGGAGCGAACGGGGGAGAGGAGGTCGCCCCCTCTCCAGCGTTCGCAAATGGCAAATATTAGTTTATTAGGCCACTAACTGTCAATTTACGCTCGTTCCTTTACGTCCGCCGCAGCCGATAATGTTATCCCCGGGAATACCAAAAGTATAATTTCTTTCAGCAAAAAAAAAAAACAAAACAAAACAAAACAGAATAATAAAACGCCCGGTATATCACAGCTTTGACAACGCTTCACGTGTGTGAGGTTCGATGACCGACAGAGAACCACCGCTGGCCGTGCTCCCGAAGCGGGGAAGTGCAATCTATGGAGACCGATCATATTATCAGAAAGGTGCAGACTAGGGAGCCTTCATGTGCGCGAAGCGCACATGGAGGCACTCTAATGCGGACAATCCAGGAAAAGTATTCTTGCAACTATGAGGTTCCAGTTGTACTTACACATGCATTATCGTCAAATTTGACGGAGTTCCTTCCAACACTAAAGAGTTGTCAAGAGTGAAGATTATAAAGGAGAATATCAGCAGGAATCTATTGTCTGTTTACTGAAAACAAAACAAGCATCAGAAAAACGCATTTGGGCGGCCGGGGAGGCCAGAAGCACGGACTGCGCGCACCCAGCGTGGAACCAGCGAATGAGAGGGCACTCCTAGCAATCTGTTTTCAGAGCCACGGTATGCCGGCTGCCGGCCAAATGTCCACTTTAATTCTATTATGGCTTTCGAAACGTAAATACACGCTCGGGAATTTTCAACAATATCACGCGAGCGCCGACCGGCCTGTAGATCAGCGCATCGTCACGGCGTGAAGTAGCGATATCAATGACAGTACGCGCGTGCGCAGAAGAAACGCGCCGAAGTCGGCGTCGGCTGCTAAGCTGTTTCCCCAATCACGACCCACCCCTGGCGCGACGCCCACCGCTTGCTCCACCCCATAAGCAGGGGACCTAGTAATCAAAGCGACACACACGGTACGCAAACACGAACAGCAGCCAGTAGGAAGGACACCGACACGAGCTTAGTCAGCGAACGAAAAGACAGACACAAACTTCACTCTAGGCAAACAGAGCAGGGGTAGTTACAAGGATGAGATGCGTGCGCAGACGGAGGTAAGCAGTGCACAATAAATACGCGAAAACTCGCAGCAACCGAAGAACTGCGCAGCAAACACGTACGTGCACACGCACCAGAAGCACGTGCCTCACGCTGCGTATCTACGCAGAACTGGCGATTTTGGCATTTCGGTAATTTGAAACTTCGATATCGATTCCGTGAACAATTTATTCAGCAAACTGAACCGGTGGAGCCTCGCATAAAAAAAAAATCGTTTAACAATATGAAAGCGACTGAAATTCTTCCTAAAAGCTATATTAGCAGAAAGTACCGTGTTATAAAGGACCTCACGAGTTTCGACCAAGTTTTCCAGCACGTTATTTTGCAAGAAACGGAAGAAGCCAAGTGTACAACCAGTTTCCGAAGCTGGCAACCACAGCTGGAATCAGCGCCATCCTCGGCAGTTTCCTGAACCTCGCGTAGTCACATTTCAGCCACCGCCACATAGAGGGCGCAACCAGACATCCAATTTGTGTTTTCTGTGTGTTTTATGATTCTTTTTAATAAATAGGCTCGATTAGTGAAAATGTGCGCTAATAATCAGGACCTGGAACAGTAATCTCCATTTAATACTAAAAATATCGGCCTAAATGCTCTGCCAAAAGGGGTCAAAATACTCGTTTTTGACTATCAACAAATACGTGATTTCACCTATATTCAAACTTTTTTTATGGAAAATCAAAAGTGAAATTTAGAAAAAGGGCCTCGCTTTGCAAAGCGGAATATGTTTTTCTTTGCGGGCCTACAATTTTATTCATGTGTGCCAATCCCTAAGCGCTGTACCACTGTACTACCAAATGAAGTTTGCCAAAATTAACGGTTTTTGTCACTTTTCACGTGAGCATTCCGAAAAAAGTTTAAGCCATATTACAATGAAATTTAGCGTAACTCTTTCGACCATAATTACAAACTGATGTAAAAAGTTTCAAATAAAATGACCGAGTAGGCGCCCAAAACTTCGCAACTGAAGTGCTTCCGCAAAGTCAATTTTTCTAAAGTAAATATCTGTCAAAATAAAATAAAAAACGAAAAAAGGGCCTCTGTTGACAATGAACGCACTCTTCTTCTATAACATTCTAAAATTAGAAAGAAATTGCTCCAATAGTGCACCCTGTACCACTGTACTACGAAACCATGTTTTGCCGAAAAGGTCAATGTTCGCGGGTGCCCTCTGAATTAGCTTTTTGCACTAGGAAAACAAATCCTACATCAGATAAAAGATAATGTTGTACACTACAAGATGATATATAACACATAATTTTAGCAAGCTTGAACACGCCACGATCGCATTTCGAAAACGTGCTGAAAGCGTCATATGTCATGGCCGCCGTGGGACCGCAGCCTTAAGGGAACATCGACTGTGCGTACAAGCTCTAGACCTCGCCGGTCCCTCGCCACTGCATCCTTTTCTTCTAATCGAGGCGCCTCTATATTGACGACAGATATTTCCCGAAATTAAGCTCTTAATATTTTCCATAAACTATATGACTTTAAAAATTATGATTTTATATCAAGCTACTCTTTAGACCTCTGCTACGTCAAGGCTTCCACCGTCCCTTCAAGGTTACTGGTAAGACTGCCACGACAGTAATTGTACAGGGCGTTCCACTAAATATTTTACGAGGTTTCCTTGTTATTGTTGTTTACCGCCGCATTAAACTACGCATCACCGAAGCTCATTCGCCGGCCAAATGTAACGCTAGTGGTCCGAACAGATGCCAACATTTCAGAATTACCCGCTATCTTATTAAAAGGTTCGAAGTCTTTTACTGAAATCAACGAGGAGAAAGTCGCGGCCTGCGGAATCCCAATATATAAATCTGAATTGCCCCACTTACCAAAAACAAAGACCATTTTCCCCTTGAAATTAAAATATATATATATATATATATATATATTAGAAGTTGTAACGTTTAAATAAGATTCCGGTTACGTCTGAAACCGTGGCACCTTGTTCGAATCTGCTTGCGTCATATTTCCGTAGAGGTTGAGGGTTCGGTGTTGCGTCGTTCATTTTCGCGGTAAAAAAAACTATTTTTTGACACGCTATAGATTATTTTACTACTTATTGGGTGTTCATAAAAATATTCAAAATATTTCCTTCGCAAAGTTTCTAATTATTTCAGAACTTTTTAGACAATATTCGTATGCTCCTATTATATACAGGTTCCTAGGTAAAGTCTTGTGTATGCAACCATTCAACAGAGCTACAATTTCATTAGCTTGATATTCTTAGCAATCTCCCAATACAAATTAAATAATGCTGTTGTACTCCATATCGAGGCCCTTTTGCCGTCGTCGGTTTGGCTGAAACTCGTGAATAAAAAACCAACCCGAAATCTAATGAAAATAAATCGGAAAGAAATTCTGCACCATATCAGTTCCAAAAGAAGCGAAGTATTCACTGAACGCAATCCGCAAATGCGGTTCCGTTAAAAGCACACCTGCAATTTTTATCAATAAATACCTCCTCCGTGTTGTGAGTTTCCGAAATATCGCGCGACATTCGGCATCTTTTTTTCTTCTTTTTTTTTTAAATGGGATTACGCGTTTTATGTTTGTTTACAAACATCTAGTATGCGAGAACAAGAAGTGTGCCTCTTAACGCATTCTGCATGTTTTGTCATCTTGGTAGAAATGAGCCAGCAGAAAGGAGCGTGGGGACCCGGCTGGAGGTACAACTGCTTCGTCGCAAGCCTAAGCAGCAGAAATTCCCTGAATACTACGGTCCGGACGAGGAAGACGGCGTCTTTTACGACAAGGTGTTCCGCAAAAGATCTTACGGAAAACGTACGTATATAGCCAGCGGTTGTTTTGCGTTCGTCACCAATTTAAAACTTTGAAATGAGATTGCGACACGTCAGCAATGTTAATGGGCAGCTGAAGAGGGTCTTGAAAAATACGAGTTCCAGGTGAATTCTAGAGTATTTATATGCCTCGAATCTGAATATCGTGTTCGTTTTTTTCCCGAAGATGTAAGTAAACGCTAGAAAGCACGAAAACCCTACGACCAGTCGTTTCGTCATACGCAAATCTTTCGGCCGCCAAGCGCGTGTCGCTCGTGTGGAGAGCGCGTGCAATTGATTGCTTGCTTGCCAGGTATATTCCATCGCACTGACAGTAGTCGTAACGTCTTTTCCTTACCCTTTTTTTTTTTAAAAATAGCGAGAGTGCGCGTGCATAGCTTTCATAGGCGCTGAAGATGAGCGGGAGCGGAGATTGCTATAAAGTATTGTTGAAGCCCCCCCCCCCCCTTTTCCCTACGGGAAAGGGGGGGGGGGGGGGGGGCTTCAACAATACTTTAAAAATATTTTCTGCAGCCTCATTGCACCACATTGAAAGCCAATCTCGATATTCGGGATCCTAGAGGCGAGATGAAGACGATTTATTTGTTTGCTCCCAAATACAAAACCGCTTCAGTTTCCCTTTAATCAATGGTCTGGACTTCAGCATCAGTGCGAGACGTGTTCATTGTCACATTCTCACCCTCGCTCTCTTGAGTGCCACATGGCCCATTCTGTGATGGCAAGGGAATTATGAAAGGCATTTCCATAATTTCTTGGGTGCTTTTAACGCGGTCTTTCGTGACTTTTGCAAATGGTTCACTCAGAATGTGGTCAGAACGCATTTTGGTCGTTCTAGAGAGACGCTTCAGGGTAACCGCAGGGTTTTTGCTATGAACCGGTCGACGGTAGCCCTTGTTCGCAGCAGTGCCGCGGAGCAACAGGCCGGCCCTCCATCCGGAGAGACACGAGAGGTGTGACGACGACCAGGATTGCCGGCGCTCTCCGAGTCAGATCTGCACCAAGCGGGCCCGGGAGCCTTTCGGCCGCTGCCAGTGCCCATACTACCGCCCCGTCGAGGTGGTCGTGGACGGCGTCGTCCGTTGCGTCCCATGTACGTACCGCACTGCGTCTTTCTGACTGCAGAAGTTGAAGTATACCGAGCTTCGTTCTGCTTTCAGAATAGAAAGAAGATATGCAGATCATCCACCACACAATCCACAATTTGTGTTTCCTTGGCGCGTACAACCACGTATCGTGTAGAGTCAGTAGATTGAAGAACACATTTACGTACGTGGTTTTGCAACAAGTGGCACACTACTGCACTCAGTTGCTTGCCCTCCCGGAAGAAGGTTTCACTCACGGACAAAGGAAAAGACGCAGTTTAATGTGTGGTTTTCTCGATGTTTATTTAGCTGCGCTTGAGACTCTGTGTGTTCCTCCTTTTCGTCATGCCTCCGTCTGGGATTTTTGCTATAATAAACAGTCACAAGATCAAATCAAATCATACCAAGTTTATTTTTGCCAGATTTTGCAGGACAACAGTGACTCGTCCAAAAAGCTGCTAAAAAGCAGCTTGACGAAGGTCCCAGCCCCCGTGCAGTTTGCGACAGTTTTAAACACAGCTTGAGTACAACAAATTTAGGAACTACAACTACACAGTGTAGAGAGACAAGTCCAAACCAATGCAAAAACCTGATTTATACAATACTATACTCCGCGACAACTTTTCTTGGCATTGCAGTGGAAGGTACAGGCCTGCGTTCCCTCTCCCATTTTGAGCACGCGCGGGCTCTCCTCCTCTCCCCGGAAATGGAAAGAGGAGGAGAGCCCGAGCCCGCGCACAGCTTTGCTCCGCTCAAAATGAGAGAGGGAACGCGGGCCTGTACCTTCCACTGCATTGCCAAGAAAAGTTGTCGCGGAGTATAGACAAAAAATGTACAGGCAAGTGAAAGAAAGAAAAACACGACACCTTAAAGCAATAATACAATCGCGTGCTTTAACACAGAATGTGCTTTGTCTGCCGATTTTCGTGGGGTTCTGCAACGTTCGGCTGTAACGGCCGGCTGTAACAACCGGTTGTGACAACCGGCTCTAACAGCCAGCTGTAATAGTCAGCTGTAAGTGAATTGCGACACCGAAAAGCGTTTTGCCCCGAGGAAACGATATAAAGTCATCAGTCCCCCGGCAGGATTTGTAACCTCATGACTGTCAGCCAAGTCTCGTATGAAAAACTTATATCTGGGCCCTATCTCGCCATATCAAACATTATATGATTATATGCGGCCTATATACAGCCTTATCTGGCGTATATACAGATTTATCTGGCGTATATGAAGACTGATATGGCGTTTATACAGCCTTATCTGGCGTATATACAGCTTTATCTGGCGTATCATCATCATCATCATTTATTTTCCTTGAGGGCCCCAGGGGGCATTATACAAGGGAGTGAACACAATAAAAACATCAACAAAAATAGTTAATAAAAAACACGCTGTAACCTATACATGTATTTCAGAAAGAAAGAGGTTAACAGCTGCAGCAAACTTGTTAGTGTCAGTCAGGAATGGGCAAAATACATGCAAATATGTATCGAAATACAAATACAAAATACTTCGTCAAAAATGTATTTAATTACAAATCTAATTACATTTCCAAAAAAGCATTTAAGTACAAGATACAAATACAACCAAATATATTTGGTTTCCTCCAAATACTTTTCCAAATACATTCCTCAAAATTTGTGTCAGCGACTTCAGGGCACCTGCAACGGATTTCTGGGTATCTCATTCTAAATTTGCATTGCACACTCGGGAGTTAGTGTGCGAGGTTCTAGTAACGTAATAGAAATATAATCACAAAAAATGTAATCAGCTTGGACGTAATAGCTGAAAAAAGTACAGAGCTTCAAGCAGCTTTTTTTGTCGATTACATTTTTGTGTGTCCAACAAAGAACCGAGACGACCAAGACGCACAGCACTAGCTAGAGAATGTATATTGTTGCAACTCGCACCAGATACGAAAATCTGGACGACCCGCGCATTTAGAATGTTCCAGGCGAAAATATAGATGTAAATCAGGCTGCAAAGCATCACAAGTTGTCACAGGCACTTATTTAGCCAGTCTGACCGTGAACGTCGATTTCGTCACTACTCTTGCCCTGAACTAGCACCGTATTCACAAAGTCACTAAACGCTTGTGCTTGATTGAGAGACACTACATTCGCTGCAGAACGTAGTTTTCTTCCTGCTCTGAACAGTGACAATAAATTTGAGAGATGTATTTTCGCCCACAAAATTGTATTTAATTACAATTGTATTTGAAATACCCACGTTTAAGTATTTAAATGCACACGTAAAATACATTACCCATTTTGTAATTAAATACAAATGCAAAATACACAAAGTATTTAAAATACGTATTTCAAATACTTGTATCTGAAATACTGCCCATCCCTGGTGTCAGTCATGTTTACAATGAGGTCAGGTAAGGAGTTCAATCGTCAATAGCAGGTGGTAAATTCGACATTTTACAAGAGACAGATGACGAAGTAATTGAGCGCAGTTTACATGAGTGGTCAAAACGAGGGAAAATGCGGTAGGGAGGCGATAGTAGAAAATCTTTTAGATGGTTGCTGTGCTAAAAGATTTTGTGAAGAAGAGTGAGACGTGACACCCTTCGACGTAAAGGAAGTAAGTCAAGATTAACTAATTTGCGTAATCCTGATATGCTAGTGTATGGGGAGTAGTCAGAGTAAATAAAACGAAGACCTCTGTTTTGAACGGATTCAAGGTTGTTAGTTAGATATGATTGCCATGGTGACCATATGGATGAAGCAAATTCAAGTTTAGATCTGATCAAGGTCGTATCAGCTAGTAGTTTTACTGAAGGTGTAGCTAGTCCGAGGTTACGGCGAAGAAATCCGAGAGTACGGTTAGCATCGGCAGTGACAGCGTTTATGAGAGTAGTCCATGACAGATCAGAGGTCAGGTGAACGCCTAGGTATTTATATGAGGAACAGGTAGCTACTGGGATAGTGGAAAGGTGATTAGAAAAGGATGAAACATGTGAACTGCGGGTAAATGATAGAGATTTACATTTATTAAAGTTTAAAGTCATTTGCCATTTGTGGCACCACTGAGTTATAAATGTGAGGTCATTCTGCAAAATTTGATTATCGTGGTTTGAATTAATAGGTCTATAAATTACACAGTCGTCGGCGAACAGACGTATTGAAGAGGAGATGTTGAGGTAGAGATCATTAATGTATATTAAAAATAGAAGGGGGCCAAGAACGGTTCCCTGGGGGACGCCGGAGGTTACAGTGCAGGTGGTAGATTTGGTGTACTTGATAGATGAGTACTGGGTGCGATTTGTGAGGAATTCAGAGATCCATTTGACGACTGAGGGATGGATATTAATATTTCTAAGTTTCAGTAAGAGACGTTAATGAGGGACCCTGTCAAATGCCTTGGAGAAATCAATAAATATGGCGTCAGTTTGCTTATTAGAATCAAAGTTTGAGTAAATGTCAGTAAGAAAAGCTGTTAGTTGCGTTTCGCATAAGTATGACTTGCGAAAGCCGTGCTGATGCTCGAAAAGAAGGTTGTGGGAGTCTAGAAAGTTTATTATGTTAGAATAGAGTATATGCTCTAAGAGTTTAGACGACACAATGGTGAGTGAGATGGGGCGATAGTTGTTGATTAGTTGGCGATCACCTGCTTTGTAAACGGGGATGACGTTAGCGATTTTCCAATCGCATAGAATTTCAGAAAGTTGAAGAGACTGCGAGAAAATGTCGCAGAGGAAAGTTGAAGAGACGTGTTTAGTATTTATTAATATTTTCGAGTTTATTTGGTCGTCGCCAGAGCTAGAAGACACCTTCAGCTGATCAATGGCCTTCAGTACACCAGAGTGGTCGATCATGATAGGATTCATAGGAGGATGAAGGGGTTGGCACAAGTTGGGCATACTTGACAAGTCTTCATTGGTAAAGATCGAGCTAAAAAAGTTGTTAGTTTCAAGAGCACCATGTTCGTCAGAAAGTGGAAGGCCGTACTCGTCAACGAATTGTAATGGAAGATAGAGTGCTGGGTTAATTACTTTCCAAAACTTTTTAGCTTTATTGGTTAAAATGTTGGGGAGGTCATGAGTATAAAATTTGGATTTGGCATCATGAATCGCGGATTTGTAGGCCCTAGCGCATTCGTGATAGACGTTCCAAGATGTGTTAGTGTTATGAGCCTTTGCCCTCGTATAAGTTCTTTTTTTCCTGTTGGAGTGGCAATGAACTGTTTTATCGTACCAAGGGTTAGTGTTATCGGATATAATTCGAGTGAGTGGAACGAAACGTTTTATTAAGGATGTTAGTCTATCTTTGAAAAGAATCCAGTTTTCATTGACCGTCCTTTCTGCGAAGTTAACTGAGAATATGGGATAAAATTCTTCGAGGTTGGTGTTGATAGATGCGTAGTCGGCTCTTGCGTAATCGTGAATAAATTTGCAATAACGTGATTTTTTAGGAGCAGCGATGGAGAATGTTAGCTCAATGACGAGATGGTCGCTAATGCTGGGTAAGTATGTGACGTTGCTGAAGAGGGAAGGTCATTGCTTAAACATAGGTCGAGTACGTTTCTGCAGCGATTGGTAATTCTAGTGGGTTGAGTGATAACATTAGATAGGCTAAAATCTAAACAAAGGTCAATAAACTCCTGAGAAAATGCACAGCCAGAACAAATAGTAGACCAGTCAATATTTCGGTAATCGAAATCACCAAAAAGGGCAACTAAAGCGTTAGGATATTTACATGCGAGTTCAGAAAGGCATTTATACAGCTCAATAACAAAATCTCTTTTATTATCCGGCGGCCTGTAACACACACCCATTATTACGGAAGGCGTTGTGCAAAGATACACCTTAACAACTTCTAGGTCAGTGGTAAGCGGTATTAGCCGAGATGGTATATGGTCTTTTATGGCCAAAAGTACGTCCCCTCCTTTTCTAGTTTTTCTATCAGACCTATACACTCGAAAGTTTAGGTGCGAGGGAAATAGCTCAACGTTAGATATATCAGGGCTTAGCCTCGTCTCTGTAAGTACAACAAAAGCGGCA